GGTGCTATTTGGCAATTTCCTTTTAAGTCTAAGATTTCTTCATATGGTTCTGGATTTTCAAGAAACGTCTTTGCTTTCTTAATGTAAAGAATTTAAGTTACTCACAATGAAAAAATTATTTAAACTATTCGTACGATTTAATCGGTTATAGCAAGTTATTACTCTATTTTTCATGTTATCATATCAGGCTTGCTATGGAGAGTTACATGTTATTGTAGGTTAACTTAACACGATACCATAGAAAACTTATGCACTGTTATTGTGCACAACTTAAACTCAAGTAAAAGGAGAGTTATCTTTGGAAGTTTTGTTCTACAATTATTGTCTATGATAACAGCAGGATTTGTTACTACTGTCTCAAGGGTATATGCCTCTTGATCAAAGGGTAATAACGCTAAGATTTGTTACTACTGTCTATTTATTTGTAGAACTGACCACTATGTTGCCAAATCATGCACCATAATATGAAGAAATCTTCACTACATGTCAAGTCTCTATAGCTTAATCCCCACACAACCCAAACAACAGAAAGTCTCAGAACTATTTGCTGTCAACTGAATTCTATCTTATTTTCATAAAAGCAAATTTTATATGCCAACATTTTGAAACTGAAATCATTTTCAAGTAGTCAACTGTAGGAATAGGTTTCACACAAATTGCTACTCTATGTATGAGAACAAAGAAAGGAGAAACATAACCATTCAAGTAAGAGAAAACCTTCAACGGTAGAAGCAACCTGAGTTAGATTACATCTTTAAGCAAAGACAAAATACACTGTATCGCCAGTGCAGTTTAAAGTAACACTACTCATCTGCATTGTAAGAATGTAAATGTAACTGTTCAATAACCACTACATAGACTGTAGAAATTCAACCAGTCATCGGATCTCTTGCGACCGAACTGGTGGTGTTATAACAGGGTTACTTTTTCTTTGAGTGAATCTTAGAAGCTGATGTTTAATGATATGGTCAGTGCTGTCAGTTTTCCCTTAGTCTACCACAATATTAACCCGGAATTTCTTATTTATCTGAAACCCAAGCTCCATTTGGTAACCCCGGAGAACCATTACTGCTGTCGCAGATTGTTGCTGTGTTGTGCCCATTTGCCTCGTGTTTCCCTGCCTCGGTAGACCCCTCACAGGTACTGCTGTTTGGAGCATTATCTGTATGCCTATCACCAGTCTCATTACCATCAGAATCAGTGAAAGAGCCTTTATTTCTAGTGTAGGTGCTATAACCATTCCCCTGATTCCCATTTTGAGAAGCATGACCCCGAGAATTACTAGTTGATGGCAAAAAAGTAGCGTGATTGACTGCAGCACCCCACGAACTAGAAGCCCCATAACTTGCATCTAAATTATAGAAAGGACCATACCCATGATTCTGGCTGCTCCACTGGTTTATTGCGACACCGGGCAAGCTGCTAGCATAACCAATGCTGGCCAAAGATGGATTCGCATATACTCCAGCTGCCCCACCGTAGCAACTATAAATCTCACAACCATAGCCATAATAATAGGGATTGTAACCAACAAAAGTAGGCTGCGGAAACCTAATGGGACCAGAAGAACCATAACCCAAGTAACCTCTACCACCACCATTGCCAGCAGGATTTGCTTCTTTAGGCAGGGCGCGTTTTACCTCCACTAGCTTATTTTTCAGTTCATGAAAGTTTTTATGAAGAACTTTATCAACAGCATCTTCTGTGTCAAAGGTGATGAAACCAAATCCTCGAGGGCGACCAGTGCTTGGGTCATACATTATTACTTTATCTTTCACATTACCGTAATTTTGGAAGTACTGCCGAAACTCTTCTTCAGTAAGGGAAGAAGGTAGCCCACCCACAAATATTTTTCTAGTTCGGACATTCCCTTCAGGTTCTGTTTCTATATCTTCACCAGCATAAGGAAGTTGCGATCTCAAGCTCTGCTGCTGTTCTCTTGGCAAAGCCCTCTTAGTGTCCACCTGAACAGCAAAACTGGAGTTTAAAGTGAAAACAAATAGACAAGTAAAACAGATATTTGGTCAGCAAGAAACTCAGATGTCATTTAGTTGAAGCCAAGCTACAACGTTGCAGCTACCAGCGGAATTGTTTGTCAAGTTTAAACACTGCTGAGAACCTTCAGAACAAGGAAAAGATTCATATGACTCAATCGCGACCACTAGAATATCATGTCTTTGAATGACTTCAGCTCATATAAACATATTAATACTATAGAACAAGAAAATCTAACATATTACTCCTTTACATCTCTCCTCTGGTAAAAGTCCAAATGAGTAACTTAACATGGACTATTTTACTAAAAAATGAAAAGCATATGAAACAGAATCCTTAATTATCTAAGGAAGTTTGTCCTCACCAACCTTCTACTACAATTTCCACACAATCCAGATAAAACAAGCTGAATATTCCCCCCCCCCCCCCCCCCTCTCCCACTGTCCTTCATAAATGTGACCTTCTGTACTAACGCATTGCACTGCTTTTAATCAAATAATCTAAAAGTAAAAATTACAAGTAAAAAGATTGATAGATGAGCTAAGCAAGGGAAAAGGAAGTAAAAGACGAACAAGAGTGCCTAAATCCCCCTTTACATTTTAAGAATGCCACACTCCTCTAGTTCCACAAACAGGACTGTGATTCATCATACCCATTTAAGAAATTGGACAAAAAGGCAGGATTCAGAAATTTTAGACAGTGTATTCTAATATACACGTTTTTTAAAATTCTTTTGCATGTATATAAATGGGGTAATTTCACGGATAGAAATTTAACTTTTATTTTATTGCATCAAAGTCACTGAACTATTTCGAACAAAAATTTAGTCAACTTTGGCTAAGTACCACAGAAAATCATTAAGCTATATTTTTATAACAAAAATATCACTCAACTTTGCCCAAATATCACATAAAGGCGAAACTAACCCATATAAACGGTTCAAGCAGAAACTAGAAGGCCTACACATAACACATGCTGATGCAACTAATGACATGATTCCAAAACTGCATTAAAGGAACAGCTAAAAAATTCGAAAGCATCAGTTAAAAAAATAGAGAAGAAAACTCAATCCTGATCAATCTTAAAACATACGAAAACTCAACGGGGGTACGCCTACAAGATTGATCAAAACAAACCAACACCATAAAAAATTAGCAGCGGTTTCAAAATTTATAATTAACAGGTTCAGAGCTAAAGTACTGTCTATTATATGTACACATCCAAGATCATAAATTTCATACCGAACGGCCATCAATGTTGTGTTTGTCCTGAAGAATGGTATCAATAACAGAAGGATCAGAGAAGACAACAAAAGCAAAGCGTCTAGACAAGCCAGTGTATCTATCACGCATGATCGTGGCATGTTTAATTTCTCCATAATTGCTAAAATAGTCTCTTAGCTTCTCCTCCGTTGTTTCCCATCTTAATCCTCCTACAAATAGCTTCCCTTCATCTGATTCCATAATTCTGACAACAAAAACAAAAAGAAGAATTCTCTCCTCTGGTATAATAACAATAATAATAATGCAGTTTACGTAAATATAGTAACTAAAAGTAGAAAGAGAGGGATAGAGCAATTATATGGAAGCATGCCTAGGGTTTGGGGACAGTGACCCAATCTCAATCGGAAAAGGGGATCAAACCAAATCTTCAACACAATTTCCCGATTTAGGGCAGATTTCGAATCAACCTCCAAAATCAACTGACACGAAATAACCTTTAACCTTTATTTATTTGATCCTTAAAATAAATCACTTCCAAGTTATGAGTTGTGAAAATATATTATATACATCCGCTATTAAATGGTTATATATACATACATATATATATATATATATATATATATATATATATATATATATATTTGCCGGCTATTATTTTTGAAAACGACTATACTGTATAGTTTTCCTTAGATAAATAACCCCAAACCAATTTCTCTCCTCTTTTTATTTTACGGTTTAATTTTTCATAAATATACTTATTATTTTATAGTTCGGCACACGCGTAAATGCCAATTAAAATGTGAAAATTTCATTTATAAATCCAAGTATTCTCTCTCTCCCTCTCTCGGCGACAGTAACACAACCCCAACCCCCAACGGTCATCTTTTGCCAGAACCCCACCGACGCCAACGACAACAACCCGGTAAGATTTTCGACCACCCCTCACCTCTCTCTCCCTCTCTCTTATACCACTCCGTTCTCTCCCTTCTTTCTTTCTTCCTCCTTCGTTCTCGCCTCCTCTCCACCCCCAACCTACACAGTAGTTGTCTTCTCCGGCGACCGTTGTCCCGCCGGTGACATATATTCCGGCGGCTGCAGTCCCCTCCCCTCTACTATCCTTTTCCCGTCTGCTCCTCTCCCTTTATTTCCTTCTTCTTTTTCTCTTCTTTGTACTTGTGTGTTAAACTATTTGGTCATTACCCCCCACTGCTTATTCCCCTTCTTTTCGCTTCTTTTTCTCTTCTTTGCTTCTGTTGGGGCTTCACCAGTGGTAGCGGAGGCAGCCCCCTTTTTTGGTTCTTGGATTTTTTGTGCGTCTTTCAGGTATTACGCGGTGGCTATTGGAGACAAGCGAGGAGCGCGTGCACAAACATATGAGAGCTGCTAGGGCGAGTAGCAGTAAGGGGCGGTGGAAAGTTGGAGTGAACGCGCTAGGTGCCGTACAACATCGTGTACACCAAGACAATTTTCAGGTTCTATTCCCGGGAGTTGGTACCTCCCACTTTCCTGTTTTCTCTTCCTTGTGTTAGTTAAATTGCTTCCTTTTTAGTTCGCATTAGTTTAAATCATACAATTAGCGTGCGTGTAGTTACAATTTATTTTCTCCTAGTCTGGTCCATTTGCCTATTGTGTGTCAATGATTCTCCTTAGTTTGCTGTAGGCATAGTGGCTGTAGTCTGGGATGGTAGAGTAAGGTCATGCCCTCGGGGAGGCTAGGGGGTGGGGCTAGGGACACGGGGTAGGACGCGAGGCAAGGGAGGTAAGGGGCACAAAGGAGCCTATATGTTGAGAATTGGGTCATGGAACATAGGTACATTGACGGGTAAGTCTATAGAGTTGGTGAAGATCCTCCAGAAGAGGAAGGTCAATATAGCGTGTGTCCAGGATACTAGGTGGGTAGGATCGAAGGCGAGAGATGCAGACGAGTATAAGCTGTGGTACTCTGGAGTCCTGAAGGGTAAGAACTGTGTGGGTATTTTGGTGGATAGGGAACTTAGAGAGTCTGTGGTAGAGGTTAGGCGGGTGAATGATAGGTTAATATCTATTAAGTTGGTGGTTGGAAAGTGCACCCTAAATATCGTTAGCGCTTATACGCCGCAAACGGGCTTGGAAGAGGAGGTTAAGAGGCACTTCTGGGAGGGGTTGGATAAGATTGTGCATAATATCGCCCGCTGAGAGGTTATCTATAGGAGGGGATTTCAACGGACATATTGGGTCGACTGCAGGCGGCTATGGCGAGGTGCATGACGACTTCGGTTTTGTGGATAGGAACGCAAGAGGTACTTCGTTGTTGGATTTCGCTAAGGCATTTGAGCTGGTGATTGCAAACTCTAGTTTTCTGAAGAGGGAGGAGCATTTGGTTACTTTTTAGAGTGTGGTGGAAAAGACTTATATTGACTATCTTCTCCTTAGGAGGTGCGACGGAAGGTTGTGTAAGGATTGCAAGGTTATCCCGGGTGAGACCCTCGCAGCGTAGCATAAGATCTTGGTGATGATGAAGAGGAAGAAGAGGACTGCACGAGGACGACCGAGGATCAGATGGGGAGCTTTGACTAAGGATAAAGCTCAGGAGTTGGAAGGGAGGTTATCGATGTAGAAGCCTAGAGGAGTAGTGGGGACGCGAGTGATATGTGGTTGACGACGGTAGATTGTATAAAGGGGCGGTGGAGTCTCAAAAAGTTACTTTGGCGGGCACAAAGGCGACTGGTGGTGGAATGAAGTTGTCCAAGGTAAAGGGAAAGCGAAGAAGGCGACGTACCTGAAGTTAGTAGGGAGCACATGAGAGGAATAGAGGAGATCGAACAGAGAGAGGTATAAATTAGCTAGGAAGGAGGCGAAGTTGGTGGTCACGGAGGCTAAAACTACGGCTTTTGGTTGTTTGTACTAGGAACTAGGGGCCAAAGGCAGGGAGAACAAATTATTTCAGCTGGCCAAGGCGAGAGAGATGAAGGCTGAGGATCTGGACCAAGTTAGATACATCAAAGATGAGGACGGTTGAGTATTATTGGGAGAGGCGCAAATTAAGCAAAGATGGAGACTTACTTTCATAAACTTTTGAATGAAAAAGGGGATCGGGATATTGTGCTAGGCGAGTTAGGGCATTCCGAGAGTCACCGTGACTTTGGGTACTGTAGGCGTATCAAGGTCAAGGGGTCGTGGGGGCTATACGTAAGATGAGCAGGGGCAGAGCTACCAGGCTTGACGAGATTCCGGTAGAATTTTGGAGGTTTGTGGATAGAGCAAGTTTGGAGTAGCTGACTAGGATGTTTAATGTTATTTTTAGGACGAAGAGGATGCCTGATAAGTGGAGGTGGAGTACAGTGGTTCTATTGTACAAGAACAAAGGTGATATCCAGAGTTGCAACAACTATAGGGGTATCAAATTACTGAGTCATACCATGAAAATTTGGGAGAGGGTGGTAGAAGCGAGGTGAGGAGGACAATGTCTATATATGACAACCAATTTGGGTTTATGCCGGGTCGTTCTACTACGGAAGCTATCCACCTTATTAGGTTGGTGAAATAGTACAAGGATAGGAAGAAGGATCTGTACATGGTATTTATTGATCTAGAGAAAGCGTATGACAAGGTTCCTTGAAAGGTTCTTTGGAGATCCCTTGAGGCTAAAGGTGTGCCAGTTGCTTACATTAAGGCAATTAAAGACATGTATGATAGGGCTAATACTCGGGTTAGGACAGTGGGAGGCGACTCTAAGCATTTTCCGATTGTTATGGGGTTACACCAAGGATCTGTGCTCAACCCAAATCTTATTTTCCCTAGTAATAGACGCATTGACACATCATATTCAAGGGGAAGTGCCATGGTGTATGTTATTCGTTGATGACATAGTTCTGATTGACGAGATGCAAAGCGGCATTAATGAGAGGCTGGAGGTTTGGAGACATGCCCTTGAGTCTAGGGGTTTCAGGTTGAGCAGGACTAAGACAGAATATCTTGAATGCAAGTTCAGTACCGAGCCTAGGAAAGCGGGTATGGACGTGAGGCTTAGATCAAAGGTCATTCCCAAGAGAGATAGTTTCAAGTACCTTGAATTGGTTATCCATGGGGATGGGAAGATCAAAGAGGATGTCACACACCATACATGGGTGGGGTGGATGAAATGAATGTTATCATCTGGAGTCTTGTGTGACAAGTAAATGCCACTTCTACTCAAAGGTAAGTTTTATAGAGTGGTGGTTAGACCATCCATGTTGAATGGAGTTGAGTGTTGGCCAGTTAATAACTCACATATCCAGAACATGAAAGTAGCAGAAATGAGGATGTTGAGGTTGATGTACGGGCACACTAGGATAGATAAGATTAGGAATGAAGATATTTGAGGAGAAGGTGGGCGTGGCCCATGGGTAACAAGATGTGGGTAGCAAGGCTCAAATGATCCGGGCACATATAGAGGAAAAGTCTAGATTCCCCGGTTAGGAGGTGCGAACGGTTGGCGTTGGTGGGCACGAGGAGAGATAGAGGGAGACCTAAGAAGTATTGGGGAGAGGTGATCAGGCGGGATATGGCGAGGCTTTAGATCTCCGAGGACATGACCCTCGACTGTGGAGGTCGAGCATTAAGGTTGTAGTTAGGAGGTAATTGAGAATATTTCTAACTCGTACCAGTGTGAGGATAGTTTGAAAGAATTTTGTCTTAGACTGCTAGTAGTCAATGTTGTGTTCATACTACTCTTCCGTTTTCATAGTGTCGGGCCTTATTTACTTGTTATTGTTTTTGCTTTCCATCTATGTACTGGTTCGTGTGATGTTGTTATTATTATTTCTATGGTTTTTATTGATGGTACTGATATACTGTCTCTTTTCGTCTTCTTGAGCCGAGGGTCTATCAGAAATAACCTCTCTACCCCCTCGGGGTAGAGGTAAGGTCTGCGTACACACTACCCTCCCCATACCCCACTTGTGAAATTTTACTGGGTCGTTGTACTCTTTTCGGTCTCAAATATTAAAATATTTGATACTTTTGAAAGACAAAAATTTATTCATTAGACCTTTTTTCCCCTAGTTCTACCCCTATTAGTCTAATTAGTAGAGTGTTTTATTAAATAAGATTTTTAAAGATAAAAGATAATTTAGATATGTGTGGTTGTGATTAAGCCTGTTAAATATTTCTCTCAAGAAGTGCATAAAAACATTAAAGAATAGATAATATGGACATGGCAGAGTTGTCACCAATTACTTTGTTCTCAATGTCTCGTATTAGACGAGTAAGTTAAATAGTAACATTATCATAAGAAAATAGTAATAAAAAAGAATACAACAAAAAGAAGTTATGCAAGAGAGATAATAACAAGGGGATGTGTGATAGAGTGATTGTATTAGCAAATACTTTCCTTTTCTTTCTTCCCCAAATATTATATGTGAAAGTATAACGGTCTAACAAACTTTGAGCTAAAATTTAAAACGTCTTTAATAATATTTACTATTTTTCACATTTCTTACAAGGTTATTTTTGTATTTCTTTAGTTTCATATGATGATACTTCCACTAGCCCGCTTGGTGTCATGGTCTCTCTGAAATTTGAAGTAAGACATGGATATTATTAGAATTGGGCCAGCCCAGGTGGGAGTCCGAATGAAAATGAGTTCATATATATATATATATATATATATATATATATATATATATATATATATATATATATATATANTATATATATATATAAAATTAAGTTTTTAGCCTTTGTTATTTGGTCCCTAGTTTTTCTTATTTTCAATCAAGTCCTCGTGTATTGGCTAGTGAAGGGTTGGACATGTGTCAAAGATGGTACAAGTTTGTTAGCTGTAGATAGTTTTTCTAATATTTATGGAACGCTGACTTGTATTTTAGGGTTATTAGGCAAGATATGGCGTTGCTCCAGCTTACTGAGGACATGACCATGGATATGAAGGTTTGGAGGTTGAGAATTAGGGTAGAGGGTTAGGTAGTCGACCTTTGTCTTTGTTTGTTACAGTAGCTTTAGTACACCACTTAGTCTCTTTCATGTATTTTCGTCTTTCTAGACTTCTGTTATTACTTGTTGTTGCCTTCGCTTTGGTTTTTAATTGCACTAACTAGTGTTAGTTGTGTGTTTTCGCTTGATTTTTTGATTGGTTTGCTTGTCATTAGCCCTTAACTTTATCTTTTCCGAGCCGAGAGTCTACCGAAAACAGTCTCTCTGCCTTTTTAAATGTAGGGGTAAGGTCTGCGTACATACTACCTTCCTTAAATCTCACTTGTGGGAATATACTAGGTTTGTTGTTCTTGTTGTTTTAGTTCTTGCTTTTCTTTTCATGTCGATTCCAAAATTGGACCCGCTACATTTGGTATCAGAGCCGACGTTTCTCGGCCTGGATTCCACTGCAATATTCAGTCACTATTACTATCACTCACTACAACTTTCGGCCAATGTAGCCACAACAGATCCTCCTTCATGGGGCTCACCTAATGCCTATTTTCATGATTCTCCTCATCCATATGAAGCACAAGGATGGGCCAGAGAGAAGCATATTTTCGGTCTTATTCGGTAGATCCCAACTATGCAAATCTCAGTTTTCAACAAAATTCATATCACTTTGAGCGAATCTCAGCAGCCACGTACCTTCCACAAGATCCTCTACACAAAAGGCATGCCACTGGTAGCAAGAACTACTCTTACCCACAAACTTCCTATGAGTTTCAGAGAGTGGGAAAGTGAAACAAATTTCAACTGAGCCCAACCTAATCACCAATGAACAATCTATTTTCACTGAAATCCTCTCATTGGTGTAAGAGAACATTCGTCGGTCGGAGCAATTTCAGTGGAATTGTGAAGCCTATCGACAATGGAGATCTACTTATATAGATTCCCTTAGCATCAAGTTTAACGGAGGTTCTGCAGCTTTAGCGATTTTCACCGAGTCTGGTTGGTTGCTCAAAGGGAGCAATGATGAACTAGACACCAAGATAACACCTGAGTTAACAGAAAGCAGTTTAAGTGAGTCTGTTGTTTTCCTGCTTCTGTGATTTCATTTGAACCCATTTGTCACGGTTTGGCTGATGGAACACCGAAAGTTGATGATAAAGATGCTATAGTTTCAGGAAATAACTGTCGTGCCCCTTTTTCTCGCAAAAGTGGGTTTCGACATTTGATAACTCTTTTAAATGGAAGATAGAGTGTTAGAAGTGAAGAGTCGTCAC